ATACCCATCACCGATAATAATATCATCGGTCGCCGTCAACTCTATAATACTCATCATCAACAGTTGTATCGCCTCCTTTACCATTAATTTCATATTTCTTAACACCACCACTTGAAATCAACTCCAAAATATCACGCCATTGTTGTCAATTTCACAATACATCAATACCCATTTCCAACATCAATGATGTCAATCGAATTTAGCCACAATAAACGTCTGAAAACAAATTTATAATAAAATTAAAGAATTGTGGGAGAAGATTGAAATGGTGGTAAGAATGAAAATGGGCCCAGGTAATTAAATCCTTCATAAACACCACATCGAAATGAATATGGATGATTTTCCACAATACCCATCATCAACTCCACAAACACTATCGGTACGAATAATTTTATTTCCTCATGAACTGAAAACCGCCTCAAAGTGTTAAGGTATAGTGGTTCCGCTCTCTTTTACCACGCAATAAAAACCTCCAACAAGCTTTATGTCCTTGTCAAGGGAATCAAAATGTATTTTTTTTTTCATTCTTTATTCTAGTGGAATCGAAGAGATGGGGTGGGGATGGAAGAAGAGGAATGGAAAATGGTTGATTTTACATTCATGGTGGCATACCGTGGCTTTGCGAGTTTGGGAGAGTGATCACACTTTCCTTGTCATGTCATCAATTAAGGAGGTGCTAAATTCACTTGGAATGAGTTAAAAGGGTAAATAATTATCTGTAAGTTATAGTGTTAAAGTAAATTCTATGGACAAATTTAGGAATTTTTTTTTATGTATTTATTCAATTAAAATTTTGAATCACTTCGATCATTGGCACCTCTTATTTCTTTTCTCAAAAAACAATTACTGAGCACTTAAAATATTCATTCGATTTTGGAAAATAATAATGGCTATTTTAGGTTATTTATCCCTTTTTTTTTAAAGAAAATAATCTAAATTATTTTTGGCGGGACTTTTAGTAGGATCGTGGGTCCCGCTATTTGCTTGACACGTCCGACGCCGGCAGCCGGCGTGGAGGAACTGTGGGTCCCTTCTACTTCTTATGCGCCCATGTGGCAGAGCATTTTCTATCCGAAGCTATCAGCTTCGGCTCTGAGCCTACTTTTGAATATATTATCGACCGTTATTTCGACCTTAGAATAGTAAATTGACCCATAACTCTTTTTTTTTTTTTTCCTTCACTTAACTTCACAAAGAAAAATAGATTAGACATTTCAACCAATAGAGGATTGAGACTTCATGAGAAGAGAAAAATATTTGTAGAAAGTCCCTCTTATTAACTAATACTAATACAATAATTAAATGTGTTATAATTCATGTAACAATCTCAAAAGTTAGCTCATGAAATAAGAATTTTTATCGAGATCATAAAAAGACGGTTGATTACTCCATTCCACACTGACATGAACTTCTAACACCTCTCTTACGAGGTCGCGCCCAGACTTGCCCACTAGAGCTAGGTTCAAATGTCCTGTCCATGAAAAATTTCTCTTTAATTTGATTCCTGTCATGTCTGAGAAGTATATACCAAATAGATGAACTTTTCTAATTGCCTTGCTGGCTCGTTTGATTCTACTAATATGGTCTCTGTACAGATATGCAAAGGACACCTTTTTCACTGACATGCTCCCTTCCACCATAGCTTTGAAACATTTCTTTAAATAGTAAAAAACCATCATCTTCTTGTTACAGTAACTACTTTTTTTTAATTTGTTTCTAACCAATACGACAATTTTTTATTTATAATTAAACCATAATATATAAACATGATTCTTAATTTGGTATCAGCAGACAATTAACTTTGGATGTGCACAAGGAGACACTTAAACTTGTCCAAAATTGAACAATTCGTCCTACATGACACCCTAAATGGCAAGTTTATGTCCTACGTGTATTATGTCATGTAGGACACGTGTGTCTAATTGTTTTATTTTATACAAGTTTAAATGTCTACTTGTGCACACTCAAAGTTGAAGGGTCTATATAGTTATCCGCTAAAGCGAAGTTAAGAATTATGTTTATGTGTTATGCCTATAATTAATATGGAGTACATAACTTAATTTTATTGTGAATAGTAGTATTAATGTAGATGTTCAAATACTTCACTAGTTAAATATATTGACGTGTCTAATATTATATACTCGGCTAGATTTCAAGGGTCCTCTATATGATATACATAAAAATCTAACACTGTTTTATTCCTGGTTAGATTACTAATTTTCAAATATGTTATAACAGAATTAGTAATTAATAATATCAGTTTAAATTATTTATGCAGAAGGGTGGATCAATAGTATTAGGATTAATTAGTTAATTGGAAATAAAATGACAAAAATAGCCCGGAGTCCCTTAAATCTTTTTTCTACTAAATTAGATGGGGGTATTTTTGTAAATAAATAAATTATAATTAAAGATTATCCTACATGTTATTTTTAATACAACAAATCAAACAATCAATGAAAAGTAATATCATAATAAATAACTAATCTCGTATCAATTTTTCAATTTGGTTGAACATATGCAAAGACTTATTTGGCCCCTAAAAATACTCTAATTTAGTTTAAATGCCACCTATATTAACAATTAACTATATTGTTAACATGTTTCCACAGCTAATCTTCATAAATTTCAACCTATATTTTCTTTAAAAGGGATATAAGATCAACTAAGTTATAATATCCATTATATTGTGGAAAGCAAAAGGGAACCAACTTCCCTAGCTTTTTCTTCTCTTGTCAATCAAGAATATGACTAATTTAGGAAGAACTATTATTTCATGAAATAGGGTTTGGTTGATGATATAGACATTAATGTGGTGAAACTTTGGCTAATGATCATCAGTAACAACTGTTTCAAATATATACTTGAAAGTGATTACATATATGACATTTTCCCTTCTTTTGGCTAGTTAAACTATTTGTATATATTTCTACTTTTTGAATATGCATTGCACCTTTAATTAAATAAAGAGAAACAAGAATATAATTGTTAGATTTTGGAGATAGATCATGATGGAACTATGTTGATGAGACAATAATGAAATGATATATAAATAAATATTTCAATGTTATCCATGAACAAGGCAGGATTAAATGGATCCACAGTATTAAAATCTCACAGCTTAAGAAATGTCTAAAGAAAAATGGCTAAAAAGTAATCAAGTCTTGTACTAATTATTATACGACCACGTTATATATGTCTTCAAACATAAGTAAAGGCATCCACTTTTTATCCTATTTTTAATTCTATAGCCAACTTTTCTTTATCTTTCAAATAATATTTTGGATAAAACCACACACACACACACACACACATATATATATATATATATATATATATATTATTAATTAAACATTTAAGCTCCAATACATTTTATTTCCCTGGACTCCATTCATAAAAAGAGTGGACCAAAACTAAATTGCTAATAATAATAATAATGAACTTCTAAAAACAAAAACGAATAGAATATAATCTTCTATTATATTCATATTTAAGAAGAAAAATAAAAATAGAAACAACTAAATACTATAGCACCAAGAATAAGATTTAGCTAAGAAGAAAAAGAACTAAATAATAAATTATTTGATGTTTCGTGAGTTAAAAGTATATAGAGTATATGCATTAATAATACATACAATAAAATTAGAATATTCCACTATTACTAAGGTCAGTTATATGTATAATGAAGAAATTAACTTCTTTTAAAAAATTTCAAACTTCGTTTTCAAGAAAATTATATTAAGAAAGGGATATTATAACCTTTGCAAATTTATATGATAAATATCCGGAATTTAATTTTTATCTTCATTTAATAAAAAAAAAATTTCAAAATGACCTTAACTTGAAATTTTTTGTTGGGGAATAATGCTTGATGGACAACAAAGATTTGTCCAATCAAACGTAAGTTCTAAATTTGATGGACAACAAAAACTTTGCCAATGTTTTCTCGAAAGGAGAGATTATTTATCTTTTAAAAAAATTATTATGGATGACAAAAAATCAAGTTGATAATTATATGTATAACTAGGTTTTGTTTTCCATGCGAAGAAAAGAGGTTTGTGATATATTTTTTACCATTAAGTTCTATATCAATTTATTGTAGATGAATAAAATTGTGAGGAAGCAAAATTATATATTATTACATATGAAATTTGAGGTGATTAATCTCTAGATGTCAAAAAAATAGATAAAAGGGTTTAAAAGAGGACTAAAGTGTACCAATATTATAAATATGTAGAACTTTTAGTGCTTCATATAAAAAAGAAGAATGACTGTCAATTTAAATTCACAATAAGAGATTATTTAAGTTCGAAATGAGGTTATGATTAGGTCCTAGGATAATCTTTTACTCTCAAGATGAGTCGGACAAGAATACTTATGATTTTATTGATCTGAAATGAGCATTGAGCCGTAATAATTAAAGTAGCAAAATTTTAAAATTTATATATTTTGAAATGATCCTCGTTGAATCTATACATATATATATTATTTATTTATTTTTAAAAAAAGAGTTACAATTGTGTTTGGTCAAATCATTGGAAAAACATCAATTTCAGTATGAGAAAAATAATTTGCATGTAACCCATACAATATTTCTAAAAATTGACTTTAACTTCTACTAAAAAATAAAAATTTAAAAAGAAGCAAATGTCCTCTTTCACTTAGGCAAGAAATTAGAAGAAAAGGAAAAAAATACTTATAAAAATAAGTACATTTAAAACAAAAATCTATATATATTAAAGGAAAGAAAAGAAGAAATAGAGGTACCAATAGAAACCCGAACCTTTCGGCTCGGAATGTGGTTTGGTATGTACCTATAGTGATTGTGTGTTAGAGAGAGAAAGAGAAAAAAAGCGAAGGTGGCCATGGTGATTGCGGAGAGATGAATGAACTTAAAATACAAAATAAATTTCATTGGCCAATTTCATCTGACTCCAAATTAGAAAAGAAAAAAAGAAAAAGAAAAAATCAAACCCAGTTTTTCATCATAATTTTTTTTCTTCTTCTTCTATAACTGCCCTTCCATTTTGTTGTCGTTCTTCCGTAAAGATCCTTCCACCCATCTCTGTATATACATAATACATATATGTATATATACATACATACAATGCACAGATATATTTTTTGATTCATTGAATTTTTTTGATTCCCCTATCTTGTTGTTGTGATTTTTTATTTGTTGCATTTGGCAATGGGTACGGAAGAGGGGACTGTTCAAATTTCTGTGGCATCAGTGGTGGAGGAAGTTCTTCAACAAGGAAAGGGACTGAGCGACATTGATTTGGCTTCTAGGAAAGCTGAGGAAGCTTGTATGTATCTTTTATTCCTTTATTTTGCCATGAATCAATTCCTTTGTTTGTTGTTATGAATGTTTTATGTATGTATATTTCCAAGATTCTCGGTCTCCCGTCAATCATGAAACGAGGAAAAGAAGAAGAAAAATTCACCCATTCTCCAGGATTCTCGGTCTTTCTGCATTAATTGAAGAATGTTGGTTCTTTTTTTGTTTGAATTTTTTTTGGGATGGCGGTCTCGTGAATAGTCTAGAGGGAAGTGATGATACAGGGTTGAGTTGCAACTCTTTAAAGGCTAATTAATGCATACACATTATGGCTTAAATTGGTTGATTTTGTTCCTTACACCTGAAAGATAAAATGAAAATATGGAATCAACTAGGGTTGTTGTAGAGTGGTAAGTATTCCTTAATCATTAACAACAAGGTTTCGGGTTCGAGTTCCCCTGGGTACAAAGTTGTCTTTGCTAGGGATTGTTTTACCCCCAATGTGGGCGGATTCGGATTTAGTCAAACTTCAACGTGGGCACTGGATACTAGGTGGGTAACAGAAAAAAAAAATGAAAATATGAAGAACCTTGCTGAAAGTCAAGATTGTACCCTGAAATATTTAGTAGCTCGATTCAAATGATCACTAAATATTTTAAAAGAAAATGATATCTGAGCCTGTTCTGTTGAGTGGCTTGTGTTGTAACTAATGCATAAGCTGGAAAACTTTTATTTTTGAGCTAGAATCTTCAGAGTTTCTTCCACAGGACACATCTTTATCTTTTCTTCTTCAGATAAACCATAATGTACCTATTATAAGATAAAGGGTTTAAAGTTATATGCACTTATATTGTAAGTGAGAATGTTTAATTGGAATGTAAAAAATGCAGCATTGAGAAGGTATGTAGCAGCAGGGTGGCTCAGAAAGACAATTGGAGTGGTTGCGGCTAAAGATTTGCCAGCAGAGCCTTCAGAAGAGGATTTCAGGCTTGGATTGCGTAGTGGAATCGTACTTTGCAATGTTCTTAATAAAGTTCAGCCTGGTGCTGTGCAAAAAGTGGGGGTTTTGAAGCACCTTTTGATTCATCTCTTTCAATCTTTTATATTAATCAATTTCATCAAGTCAATGACATGGTTCTACTTTGCTAATTAGGTAGTTGAAGCACCACCTGATTCTGTTAATGTCCCTGATGGGGCTGCTCTTTCTGCATATCAATACTTTGAAAATGTCCGTAACTTCCTTGTAGCGGTAGAAGAAATGGGCATTCCCTCTTTTGAAGCATCTGATTTGGAGAAAGTAAGTAGATGATTTGGGGATAACTTTGATACTTGTTTGTTTCATCTTGTTAGTTGCGCTCCAAGCTAGTCAATTTAACACTTAAAACCACCTCTTGAACCAGAGCATGAAATGTTTTGTCGTTTCCTGAATTAGGGAGGGAAATCTTCCAGAATCATCAGTTGTGTGCTTGCATTGAAATCTTACTCTGAGTGGAAACATGGAGGTGGGAGTGGATCATGGAAATACAGTGGGAACTCAAAACCGTCATCTGCAGGAAAGCAATTTGTCCGAAGAAATTCCGAGCCATTCATGAATTTAATCTCAAGGACTTCATCTATCATCAACAAGTCTCCTGATAGCAGTGATGTTGGGCATGAAGCCCGTGAAATGGTTTGTAAGCTTGTTTTGTAATGTTTGGCATCTCAAAATATGTTGTGCGAACTAAATATCCTAATCTTTCATTTCCAGGTTAACCCAAGTTCCCTCCAAATGCTTGTTCACGATCTTCTCTCTGACAAGAAGCAAGAAGATATTCCATTTGTAAGTGTTCTTAGCTTGATTCCACGAGAGGGTTTGATATGTTTCATGTATTAAGCCCTTTGTCGCGTCAGTCGTCACTGCTACTTTGTTCAGTTGGAAGGCATCATGAATGATAACCATCTTTCTGATTGTGATTCCCAATAGATAGTTGGATGGAAAATAATCTGCCTGGCTCATAGAAATACACTTAATCTTCACAACATAGGCAGGGCTCTCATAATTAGCATATCTCTCTGGCTCCCCTGAGAGCGTAAAGGGTTAGTAAAGAACAGTAAATTTAGTCTAGATGGATTATTATAAGGTTTGAGGTTTATATGGACAGTAATGATTAGAAAGAGAAAGAAAATGTTTGGCATCACCCTAGAAAGATGTATTCTTTCAAGCCCAATGCAGTAGCAAACTACAATACTAGGTTGTCTGATTACTACAATCAGGTGCTCCCTAAGTTCTGGGGAATCTCTTGAGAGGAACATGGACTTGAAATTTTGGAATCTAGCTGACTTCTTCCTCTAGTATCCTATTTGGCTAAAGAGTTCTCTGATCAAATAAAAAAAAAAGTTGATCCTCTGCTTATCTGAAATAAGTTACTCATTTTGGACAGATTGTGGAGAATATGTTGAGCAAAGTCATGGAAGAATTTGAGCATCGGCTTGCCAGCCAAAATGAACAGGTTGGAGCTCTTTCATTACTGGTGTTTTTTATTTTTCAACTTATTATACAAGGCACTTCTTCCAACTTCTTCTTGGCTGACAGAACAGATTGCTCTGTTTAGCAGTTGAAAAATGCTGAAAGTATGTATCTGTCTTTTCTTGCTTAAAGTTGAGTCTTACATACTTTTGGTGATATGACAGTCAAAGACCTCCCACAAAGAGACAGTTGTTCCAACAACCGATGAATCTCCCCTGGAGCTTACATGTGAGGAGACACAGGTCGCAATCATCGAGGATGAAGAAAAAGCACCCGATGAGGGGACATGCGGCAGGGTAGACATAGATGATGATGGTGCATCAACAACACCGGTTGTAAGGCAGCTGATGCTGGTTGAACACCAACATAAAGAAGTACAGGTATAGGAGTTCTGTTGCAGATTTGAGAATGAAGTATGTTTAGTTCAACTGATTGATTGACATACCCTATTCATAATCTGTAGCAATTGAAATCTACTCTCCATGATGCTAAAGTAGACTTGCAGTCTCTTCAACTGAAATATCAAGAGGAAGTCAGCAATCTGGGTACTGCAAAATTGGACTGTTTCATGCTAATTGAGATTGTGACTAGATTTTGCAACTAAAATCTCTTTTGAATAGGTAAACATCTGCATGGTTTGGCTCACGCTGCTTCAAGTTACCAAAAGGTTCTGGAGGAGAATCGGAAGCTGTATAATCAAGTGCAAGACCTTAAAGGTAACAATTTTTACAGAAAAAAATTAAATTTTATTGAATCCTGCTATTAGATTATGATGATATTAACCACTATTCTTTGGACAGGGAACATCAGAGTGTATTGCCGGGTGCGACCTTTCTTGCCTGGCCAACCAAACAGTCTAAGCACTGTGGATCACTTAGATGACGGGAATATTACAATAACTACTCCTTCAAAGTACGGAAAAGAGGGAAAGAAATCATTCACTTTTAACAAGGTCTTTGGTCCTTCTGGAACCCAAGGTCGCTAAGTTCCCGATACTTTTCCTTTTTCGTGCACATTGTAGGTTTAGATTTTATTCTAACACCTCTATTTATGGCAATGCAGAGGAAGTGTTTGCAGATACACAACCTTTGATCCGGTCTGTTCTTGATGGCTACAATGTTTGTATCTTTGCTTACGGCCAAACGGGATCAGGGAAAACACATACGATGGTTAGGCAGTTGAACTTTATTACTGAACCCTTTAATCACATATGGATATCATTTGGTTAAGACTTGAGAAAAAAACAAACAACATTATGTTAATAGTTCTTAACTTCTTTACCTACAGACTGGCCCATCAGATCTCACGAAGGAAACCCTTGGTGTGAATTACAGGGCATTGAGTGATCTATTCAATATCTCTGAACAAAGAAAAGATGTTAATTCTTATGATATTTCAGTTCAGATGGTTGAAATTTATAATGAGCAAGTCAGGGATCTCCTTACCCCAGACGGAGTTAACAAAAAATATCCTTCTTTCACTTAACTTCTAAATACAGTTACTAATAGTTCCCTATCTGTTGGCCTCTTAAATGTTTGAACTTAACTTCTAAATACAGTAGAAATTCGCAACAGTTCCCAGAAGGGTTTCAATGTACCTGATGCAAATCTCGTTCCAGTAACATCAACTTCTGATGTGTTGAATCTGATGAACCTTGGGCACAAGAATCGTGCAGTGAGTGCTACTGCCATGAATGACAGAAGTAGTCGCTCTCACAGGTGCTGCTTATACATTTCTTTTTCCATTTTTCCTGTCTTAAGGGGAAAGGGTGGAAGTTCTTGCTGATTTAAGTTCTTTTCCTTTGTATCTAAAATTTTTATGTTTGCACATTTACAGTTGCCTTACAGTTCATGTTCAAGGAAAAAACATGACATCTGGTACGATTCTTCGTGGCTCAATGCACCTCGTTGACCTGGCAGGAAGTGAAAGAGTGGACAAGTCAGAGGTGCTGGGTGATAGGTTGAAGGAGGCTACACATATCAACAAGTCTCTTTCTGCTTTAGGAGATGTCATTGCTTCACTTGCCCAAAAGAACTCACATGTTCCCTACAGGAATAGTAAGCTTACACAGTTGCTTCAAGATTCTCTTGGTAAGATCTTGTGTTCTGTAGCCATAAAATGTTTAGTTCCTCTTATTTCTGCTATTCAAGTTTTTGCATTCCTCTTTATCAGGAGGCCAAGCAAAAACTTTGATGTTCGTTCATGTAAGTCCTGAGCTTAATGCTGTTGGAGAAACACTTAGCACTCTGAAATTTGCTGAACGAGTTTCTACAGTTGAGCTTGGTAGTGCACGGGCGAACAAAGAGGGTTCTGATGTCAAGGAACTAAGAGAACAGGTTTCATATTTGCCATATTTTTGGTTTTCTGTGAACTTGTAGGAATGAACTGCTTTTCACGTCAAGTCTATAGTTGATATAACTAAGAATTGCATTTGGATTTTAAATATACCTCTTACCGTTTCTAGTTTTTGTCAATTGCATTTGGATTTTAAATATACCTCTTACTGTTTCTAGTTTTTGTCTAATTTCAAATCAATCAAACTACTAGTTTTTCCCCTTCCACAGATTTCCAGTCTTAAGGCAGCCCTAGCAAGGAAGGAGGAAGACCAAGGGCGCCGTCCACTTTCCAGATCAAGTACTCCCGAAAGAGTCAGAGTAGGATCTTCTGGATCTTCTCTTTCTTCTAGTTGGCATAGTATGGAAGATGTTAGTGGTAACATAGAGGTATAGTTTTTTGTATTTTCCTCATCTAGCTTTTTCCCTCGTATAAAATATATTTATTATTTTAACGCATTTCAAATTTTATGCTTCACTGCTTGCACATTGTAACTTTTATGATCTAGAATAGAAACACACCAATGACAGTTGCTCAAGAGTTTCATTTTGCTTAAATCACTAACCATTCTAAAACCTTGAAATCATTTAATAGTATTTTAGATGTAAAAATGTTTTTTGTTTTTAAAGATGTAAAATGTTATTATGCTCTGATTATCTCTCATGTTTCTCTGACTTCTGGATAATTCAAGTCTCTTCAATTTAGTAAGCAATGATGCTAAGAAGAGTCTTCCCCTTGTTACCTTTCTAATTACAGAACAAGCAAATGTATTTTTCTTTCTATGCAGTTTACTTGCACTGGAAGCTCAAAGTTGTTGATGTTTTCAAATCTTTTCTCAGGTTAAGAAGAAATCTACGTCAAAAATGAGAAGGCGAAGCTTAGATCCCAAAGACTTCCAGACGAATTCTCCTCCGTCTCCACCAGGCAATAATCCTGTATCAAGGGAAGAGGACAGAGAATCAGTTTCTGGTGATTGGGTTGACAAAATTATGGTGAATAAGCAAGATGGTCTGAGTAGAAGTAATTCCTTAAGAGGATGGGAAGAAGAAACCAGGATTTCACCTGACCTGTTATATAGGAAATGCCCACCTGATAGTTCAAAGGTGTATCCAGAACAACATATAAACAAAGTTGCAGGAAACAAAAAGGAAGGCCAAGACTACGAAGCAAGTAGGACTCGGTCTGAAGCAGGTTCCATAGATGATTTCGATGACCTGGAAGCCGCAACAAGTGAGTCTTCTGAGCTTGAATACGGTTGGCAACCGAATCCTCAGAAGGTTAGTCAGACTCCCAATGGACTGGGATCCAAACTCAAAAAACCTAGTCCTAAGCAAGTGAAGAAGCCAGAAATAAGGTATTGTAGCTCATGAGTGCATTTAACTTGTTATTTTTGGGTGTGCCTCATCTTTATCCATTCTCCATTAAGTCTGTGTCTTTCTCATCTAAAAGCGTAAACTGAACACTTTTATCTGTTTATTAGGTCTGCAACATGAATAATTGTCAGTGGACACATGCTTTCTAAACCTTTAGCTTTTCTATATGCCAACTCAAGGAAGAGAACCAACCAAATATGTCAAATGAAATAACATGCATTCTGGTGTTTATCCACATTTATGACTAACCTGTTGCTATGTAAATCAATGCAGGAGCTTGATTCCTCCACCACCAACCAGGAGACTTTCTAATGGGTTAATCTCACCTTCTGCAAAGATGGGAAGAGCGGCGGCTGCCTTAGAAGGAAAGCGAAAAACAGCAAGTGGGAAGTGGTAAATGTTCCTACTTAGCTGAGTTTGATGCTTAAGCAATCAAAGATGTGTATCTTTTTTTTCTTTTTTCTTTCTTTGTCAATCTTTTGCTCTGCATTCTTTAGAGTGAAAGAGAGCGGAGGGTATGGCAATAACTTCAGTTGCCAGCTTTTCCTCCAGTGGTGATGAGTTTTCAGTTGTTTATATGGTTGTTGGCTTGTTCTTCATTTTTTTTTTCCCATTCTTTTGGACTGAGGAATGTAAAAATGCAGAAAATGAAAAGAACTACTAATAGAATTACAGATACCAATACATATGTTTAGGATATGTGTGTCTCGAAATTCAAATGTTGTGATTTAAGACATTGGAAAGAAGAACAAAGAACGATAATAATATATACATTTTGAAAAAAGATTTGATGACCACAAAGGAGTTATCATTTCTCAGAATGAAGCATTATATGTGCACATATTCTGTTTTTAGGTCAAATGTATCCTTTCGGATAACGTTAAGAGTACTCAGCTTTGATGTTTATTGCTCAATCTTATAAAGAAAATATTAGATCATGATCTAAAAGAAATGTTATTTACTAAAATAGCTGTTGGGAAAAAGGACTACTGAGGCCAACTGAAAATTGGTATAGCCCAATATATATCCCTTTAATCATTTAGTTTCCTAGTGTGCCAGCTGAAAAGAGAAGTTGAATATTGGCCAACTTGTCAAACTTCACAATGTTAAGTGCTTATCAACATGACATTTAGGGGTACAAAGAATAATAAGTATAACTAATATATGTATTTTCTTCTTCTTCTTCTTTTTGGTTGTTGTTGTGGGTAGGGCAAGAAATCCTTGGTGGATGAGCTAAGATTTTGTTGGTATGTTGAAACAATTAAAATGAAAACATGGTTGGAACAAGCATTAAAGATGACTCATGTTATCTGGTTTATGTTTTTGGGTCCATTTGCCAACTTTACAAGTTATTAAACAAAGTTGGACTTTTTCGTTATTTCCTAAATGAGGACTAAAGAACTAAAATGGGGTGATTGCTGAAACTAAAATCAAATGAATTTACAATCTCAAAGATGAAATATATATGAACTGGTAATTATTATTAGTAGTATTATTTAGAGAGCAATAAGCATAGTACTATGTAAGATGATTAAAGATCTTTTCAAACCCATTGATTACAAGTTGTCTCTTGGAGACATTAATTACATTAATTGTACAAGGATGAATAATATGTTGTCAAAATCATGAGCCACTAGCTAGCTAAAGGATTGGTGTTATTATTTGTTGCATGGTCCATATATTTATACGCATGCACATAAAAATCCTCGTATTTTCTATCACATATTATAGGTTTAGAACAATATAATGCCTAGTGGCCCAACTTTATTTTTTTGTCAATATATATTGATCATAATCATAACAAATAGTATACTTCTTTTATTGTATATTTATTACAGCTTATCGCTCTTTTTTTTTTTACTTCTATTTAGACTATGTTATGTATCTGAGGTAAAGCTAGAGTTTTAGTTACAGATTTCGCGTAATTTTGGAGTAGTTTACACTTTGATGGATTTTAAAAGTAACTACTCTTTTATTGGTCATGACCATTCATCAACATATGCACTATACAGTATGTTTGAAGAGCTGCAGTTGACTTTTAAATAATTTAAACTTGCTCCAAAATAACAACTTAATTACTAATATTCTACATATGGGCCCAATTTGGTTCACCATCAGAAGTTAGTGCGCTCATTGTAGGAAAATGATCAAATGGCCCCGATTAATTTAAATTTGATCCTTCGGGTGGTCATCCGAATAAATAATTTGAGATAAATCTCTTCTAATATTTTTTGAGTTGAGTGACTCAAGTCTATCGCACATAGGACTTACCTAGTGTGGTTTACATTTCTTAATAAGATTTATTTTTTAATTTTGGGTTCAAACTAGACTTTTGATTAAGGGTGAAAGAAACATATTCATTCCTCTACAACCACAATTAGTCTATGGCCATTGGAGTACGTAGGTTATTCAAAGTAGTACCAGTTTTCATTAAAAAATGAACGAAAATAAAAAAGAAGAAGAGGGAATATACAACGAGAAGATAATTCAAAATATACATATTTATACTTGTGATTATCAAAACACCAACAATAATGGATTGGGACAAATAATTTCATTTCGTGATGTCCAAATTTGTCATATAATATCTATGTAATTCGTTTATATTTTCTTTCTATTAAAGTAAGAAGAAGAGAACAAAGTCCACTTGACAACCTGGAAAATTATATTTGGGTGGAAGAAAGAAATTTCAAAGATGGAAATAGTAATTATTCCTGAGATATCTCAATTTCAAGTTTAGAAAGCGTTTTATACGTTAACACAAAATTTCTTATCATCAATCCAAATTAATTAAGCTTCAAAAATTTATAATGAATACCAAACATCGGATAAAAAACAAACAAAAAAACTCAAGTTGTAAACGTTATAGTTTTGTACAGCTATGTCCAGACCCCTCCATGATAGGTGGTACAATATCCCACGTGGGTCCCATAAAACACATGGCCATGTCAGCAAATTCCTTATAACCCATCTTTTCACTTTTTCTTTTCTTTTCTTTTTTTAGGAAAGGACCCACAACAAACATCCTTCTAATTTTTCTCCAATTTTTCCATCTCCCCTAAACAATTACTTCATCCGTTTCAATTTATTTATCTGATTTTAACTTGATATAAAATTTAAGAAATTTTTTTTTTTTTAAATCCTATGCTTGATAATTAACAATATGTAGAATGTATTAATTATGTCATGTGAAAAGTTATTAAAAAAAATCATTTTTTTTTAAACGAATTAAAAATGAAGTAAGGAAAACAAATAAAAAATTTATTTTAATGCATATTTGTGAATTGAAAGAAAATCACTATCAATGGTAGCTGTTCACATGGTTTTGTAATAGAAAAAGAATCAATCATATATCTAGATAGGAATAGATAGCCATTTTTAGATTTCTTCCAAAGATCAACTATCTTTGTATTACTTTCATTTTTTTTTTTTGTTTTCATCTCATCAATCACCATCAATTATAGTTGTTCATCATGTATATATATTTATTATATTTATATTTTATATTTTATATTTTATATAATAAGTGTGTATGCAAAGAAAAAGAAGAAGGAATGGATGAGATCAACTTCTTAAAATCTCTATCCCCATTTCTTGTAAACTTCTAAACACATTTTTTTTTTTGGAAACTTTTGTTAAAAAGCTATGAGAAGGGAAATATTTATTTTTATTTTTTTCGTTCGGTATCATAACTCAGATACTAGTATCTCTTTTAGAGATCCTATTAATTTGATGTGTTGCGTAAGGTTTATTAAAATGAAAAATATTTCGATGGCTTGAACTCACAATCTCTGATTAATGGAAATGTTTTCTAATTTGAAAATTATAACCCATTATAGTAGTTGAATTATTCAGTTATTGCAAAATGTTCACCCCGTCATATAAAAAAAATTCTTAACTATATTGTAAAAGTAAATAAAATCACAATGATGATTTGAGTCGATGATCACGAAACACAATATCTTTTTTAAAAGTTAGAGCCCATTCAAATGATTAGTGGTGTTTGCCACAACATCATAATTTCTTACCTAAGTTAACAAGAGAGACACCACTAATTACCCTTTTTGCATCTAAGCATGTTACTTCCATATAGCTCCTACCAAATCATCACCTACATCTTGACTCTTAATTAAACTTGTAAAATTTTAGAGTATAGCTTTGATTGGGCATCATTATAATTAAGACACAATTACCAATAAAATTATTCTCTTTAATTTGATCAAATAACACTCCATGTTCAATATGTCTGTTTTTTTTTAGTTCCCTCCATCATTTCCTACATAAATTAACAAAAAAGAAAACCACACTAATTACCTTTCATCAATATCCAAGCATGAGCTTTTGCCCACTAGCTCCTGCCTATTCATCATCAATATGTACACCTCAATTATTGAGAAAATACTTTGTTACCTTCTATCTTTGTAAATATTGAGTAATTTTATCAATATATATATATATATATATATATATATATATATATATTTGCATCAAAATCTCCCATAATACTATTCCTCATACACTTAATTGACTAGTATCGAGTATATAATTAATTCATATAAAACGAGAGTATGGTATATATCTCCTATAATTTCACCATTCTCGTTTGAATTTTCAAGTTTGACATGAACTATAGATACTAATAAAATAAGTTCTATTATGACTCAATTATTTTGCAATAGCTATAATCTTTTGCTATAACATTTACAAATTACTCTAGGGCAGCAAAGGCACACAAACAAAGTCACAACAAAAGAAAAAAAATAGCTATTAAAAAAATAAAAATAAAGAGAGATATATTCTCTCAGGCAAGAGCAGAGCTAGTAAGGGTCCAAGGATTTATCCGATTTTTTTCCCACAAAAAGTTACATTATGTTTACATTTTCATAGTTTTATATATATATATATATGTATATATATATATTTGCATCAAAATCTCCCATAATACTATTCCTCATACACTTAATTGACTAGTATCGAGTATATAATTAATTCATATAAAACGAGAGTATGGTATATATCTCCTATAATTTCACCATTCTCGTTTGAATTTTCAAGTTTGACATGAACTATAGATACTAATAAAATAAGTTCTATTATGACTCAATTATTTTGCAATAGCTATAATCTTTTGCTATAACATTTACAAATTACTCTAGGGCAGCAAAGGCACACAAACAAAGTCACAACAAAAGAAAAAAAATAGCTATTAAAAAAATAAAAATAAAGAGAGATATATTCTCTCAGGCAAGAGCAGAGCTAGTAAGGGTCCAAGGATTTATCCGATTTTTTTCCCACAAAAAGTTACATTATGTTTACATTTTCATAGTTTTAAAATTTCTTAATAAAAATTCTGGCTTAGCAATACAGAAAATAGTACTAGTACTTATAAGAAAAAGAATCATTGTCATCTGCAGATGCGGAACCAGGATTAAGAGTTTGAGGGTTCAAAAAGAGAGGCTAGTTCAGATTAAGGGGGGTTCGAACACAACTCTAGCATTTCACAGTCACTTCACTACCACTGAATCGGGTTCACAAGTTAATATACATATACATTTATTTAATTTTCTAGTAAAAATATAGGGTCTGCAGAAAAGTTATCAGGTTCGTCCAAAACCACGAACCCCCACTTAGCTCCGCCTCCGGTCATCTGTAAAATTGAATTGTTAATAAAATAATAC